TCTCCTCGGCTGCTCCTGGAGGCTCTGGGGTTGCAAGAGCAGGATGGAACCGGGAACGGGCAGGCAGGACCCCAGCAGGCAGCTCCAACCCCGCCGGGAGGTGGAGGGGCGATGCTGCAGCGGCTGTGGGCTGTGTCGCGCCGGCCGAGGCCGTGGGGCAGCTCACGGGTGAACGTGGAACCCAACAACCTTCCTGCGGGCGAGGAGGCAGCGACTTCCCGCCCCCGGCAGCTTTTGAAGCCTCCTTGGAGCGGTGCTGCAGGGGGTTGAGAGCGTGCTGGGTACGCGGCGTGAGCCCGGGCTATCTCTCGCTCTCATCGGCTTTTTGGCTTCTTTAAAGAAAAGGAGATCAAAATCAGGAAGCCAAGGAGAAGGCGCTGCGGTGCGCAACCAGCCGGGGCGGCCGGGCTCTGCGTGCTGCTCCGCTTCACGTGGCTCCTGCTCCCGCCGCCGTCACGGGAGAAGGTGCCAACTCTGGAGAGATGCAGAGATGAGCTGCAGCCGCCTTCCGCACGGGCAGCGGAGGCTGCGGGGGCTCCTCTCCCCCCTCCCCAGGACTTTGGGCTGGTTTCAGGGGTACTCACAACGTGCCAACCTTGCAGCATCGCCAATCCCCCGGGGGCAGCGCAGCGCCTGGTGAGACACGGGGGGGTGGCGGGGGAAGAAGTCCCCGCTGGGTTTTCCAGCAGAGGTGGCACGTGTGCCTGGGCAGGATGCCACAAACGTGGCCCCGTGGCTTCACCAGCCTTGTCTGAGTATAGAGGCAAAGCCAGTGGGGGGCAGCTGGGGGAGGGTTTGGGGGAAAATCCCTGGGGATGGGGAGGCAGCTGCCAATTTAGAGGCAAGGTGGCAGCAATGAGGCTGGTGCTGGCAGGAACGAGGGCCCAGGGCTGAGGGGTGTCCAGGTAGATGGATGAGGGGAATCAGAAGCCACCCCCTGAAAGGAGAGGGGCTCTCTAGAGGAATTTTTTTTGCCCCCTGCAGCCCCCCCCCCCCAGGGTTTCCCCTCTGCTGCCAGCACTGCTGGGCTGCCCCTGCCCACAGCCACGCTCCCCGGGCTGGCCCGCCTGCCAGCACTGGCCGCGCCAGGGCAGCTCGCTCCTGCCTGGGGACAACCGAGCCCTGGGGGAAACCCTCAAGCAGCAACAGGAGGTTGTGGGGTTCCTCCCCCAGGCCCTTCCCAAAAAAATAAGTGGTTTTGGGCTGTGAGAACAATCTGAGGGTCCCAGCCTTGCCCCTCCTCCCTTCTTTTGCCCAACTGTGCAGGGGCTGCTCAGGGCAGAGTGCAGTGAGGGCAAAGGGGGTGCACAGCAAATGCCCCCCCCCCCCCGTCTCCCTTTGCAATTTGGGGACAGCAGCAGCAGTGCAGACTCCCATCGGCAGCTCTGCGAGAAGCCCCGGGGCTGGTGGCTTTGCTCTGCCACCTGCTGGGTACAGGACAAGGTGGGGACAGGGCAGGGATGCCACCTGGATTTTATTTTCTAATACAGGAACAAGCCAAACCCTCCCTTGGGGTGCTGGTGGCAGCAGGTTCCTGGGTGGGGACGGAGTGGCCTCGCCCCGGGCTGAGCAGGGTCCAGCTCGACGGGCACAGCCAGCCCCCAGCGCCCACCCAGAGCAGCAGGATTCGAGCTGGATGCTCCTGCACAGCTTCGCTCACGCTCTGGGCTCCCAACTGCAGCCAGCAGCGTCCCGGGAGCAGGTCAGGCTGGAGCTTTTCCCTGCCTCTCCCTGCTCACTCCACGGCCACGGGCTGCTGCCCCTCCACATCCCGCGTCTTGGAGTTCACCAACTCCCGCCGGATCTCCGGCGAGATCTGCGGGTGGCTGTGGAACTTGAGGAGCTCAAGCAAAGCCTCCTTCTGCTCCGAGGAGAGGTCCTCCTTGTAGCGCTGGGCGAAGGCCAGGAAGCTCTGGTGCCACAGCACGGGCAGGACCCGCTGGTCCGTACGGAAGGCCAGGAAGTGGAAGACGAGGGCATCCACCACGCGGAAGGGCAGGGCGTATTTCTTATCGATGAGGAGCCGGAGGAAGATGCTGTTGGCGCCGCTGTACTGCATCTCGGCGATCTTCAGCATGGCCGCGCTGCGGGGACGGAGCGGGCACCGAGGTGGGGGCGAGGCCGGGCGGGGGCACCCAGACACAGATCGGAGAAACCCGGCACTGAGCCCTGAACCTCAACCCCGGTGGGAGCCGAGCGAACCGCCCCCACCTCCGAGATGGCCGGAGGAGTTGAGGGACCGACCCGAGGGGTTGTGCCGGTGTCACTAAAGGAGACCCTCTCGCCGCCCCCAGCCTCCCCGTGCGTTACCTGGAGTGGAGGACGGGGATGGAGCACTTGGTGAGGATGCTGCCGATGATGATGGCTTCCCGCAGCGTGCAGGTCCCCGACTCGCAGAGGGGGATGAGGATTCCTGAGGGGGAAGAGTCGGGCATCTCTGAATCGCAGCAGGCAGAACCCTGTGAGGGAGCCCCTTCTCCTGCCCCCAGGAGGTGACAGCTCCTCCAGCAGCTGCTGGTACAGCGCCCGCAGCATCTCTCTGCCATGAACTAGCTCTGACCCACCTCAGGTTGCCAGACAAGACCAAGATCAGACCCGAGACAGTTCGGAACCTGCCACCAACCTCCAAAAGAACCCAAATACCTGCCAGCACCTGCGTAAGCCTACGGCACTCATCGCACAGCACAAACCCCTGGGGATTTGGAAGCTGCCTGCCTCATCCGCCCTGGGGGATTCCCTGCATCTCTTCCACATCTCCTCCTCCCCACGGAGCCCCCAGGGCCACGCAGGGGATAGTGTCCTGTCACGCTGGGCAGGGAGGAGCAACACGTGCCCCTGCTGAGCTACCCAGATGGCGAGAGGCTCCCAGGCAGGAACAGCGAGGAGTCCCCACCTTTGAACCAGGCAGCCGGCTTGAACAGAGCCTTCTTCAAAGCCATGTAGAGGTGAAAATTGAGGCGCTTATACTCAGCAATGTCATCCCTGATGCGCGGCAGCAGCACCAGGTTGTAGAACCGCTGGGCCATCCTCTCCTTCAGGTTGGATGAAAATATCCTGGGAAAAGCAAAGCACAAAGTGAGGTTTGGAGAAAGGAGGCCAAGCAGAGGACAGGTTGGTATTTTGTAAATCTGGTTCCAGTTGTGGGATTTTTTGCTTCTTTTATTCATATCATCTGCTCCCAGAGATGATCTTACCTGGTAGCTTGGTACATGGCAGCTGCTGTCCATGTCTCTGGCTCTGTGATGTAGAGGATCTGCTCCCAGTTGGACAAGGCAGGAATGATTTTAAATGCCTTGGGGAGTTTCCCGCTCCTGTATTTGGACAGCACCTTAAAAGACAGGGATACAGGCCAGGCTGTGACATGCAGGCACTGACAGCAGGGCTGCAGGACTTGTCTCACGACCAGGAGAAAGTTGTCCCCTCCCTTTGCATCTCTGGTAAGAAAGGACTATCCCAGGACCATCCTGAGCATGCTGCTCAGGAGTTGGTCACCCGGAAACCCTCTGGGCCCTTCAGTGACCGATCCTACACAAACTGCAGGTAATCCAGAGAAGCGCCTGTGCAGGTGACAGGCTGAGAGAGTGTAGGCACACAGGCGGTGGCTGCGGGGCTCAGCAGGGTGCTTGCCAGACGCCGGGGTAGCACAGCTTGGGGCTCACCTCTCTGACACCCCTGTAGACCTCCAGGACGCGGGGATCAAGCTGGGGCATGGGGCAGCCCGACACCTCCGACAGCGCCGTCTCCACCTCCGTCTGCTTCTCCGTGATCTTCTCCATGATGATGTCCGCCAGCGTGCGCCTGGGGCCGGCACAGGAGGGGTGCGAGTCGAGGGAGGGAACGTGCTGGGAAGCCGCAGCCCCCGCCCCGTCCCTTCTCCCACCGCGTCCTCACCTCAGCGGCGGGTTCTTGTTCATGAACATCTCAATGGCCTTCTCGTCCTCGGGGTCCACCGCCACCTCTCCGCCGTACTCCCCGCTCCGTCCTGCCGCCGCCTTTTCCAGTGAAGGCCACTCCTCATCATCCTCGTCTGACTCCGAGCCGGGGCCACGCACCGCCAGGCCTGCGGGGAAGCGCTGGCTCAGCCCGGGGCCCCGCAGCCCGGACACCCGGGGGTGGGTTGGGGGGCGAACCGGGGGGCTCACCCAGCGCCGTGCTGCGCTGTTTGGGGGCGGCGGGCGCGCCGGGGCCGTGCTCGGCCTCCAGCTCCTCCTGCTGCCGCCGCGCCTGTTCCAGGATGCGCCGGGACAGCCGCGCGTCCACGTAGCCGCCTTCCTCCCCCTCATCCTCCTCCTCCTCGCCGGCGCGCCGCTTCCCCCGCGCCGTGGGCCGCGGGGCCGCGTCCTGCAGGATCTGCTCGGCCAACGGCAACGCGGAGCCGGGGACGGAGCCCCGCGGCCGCCGGGCCTTGGGCATGGCGCCTGGCTTGAGCGGTGAGGGGAGGATGAAGGGGGGAGGATGAAGGAGGGGGACGAGGCCCGGCCCGGTGCTGCCAACACCTCCCTCACCGCCACCGGCCGCGCGTGCGCCGTGGGCCCGCCCCTTCCGGTGAACCCGCCCCTTCCGGTGAACCCGCCCCTTCCGGTGAACCCCGCCCCTTCCGGCGGCGCTTCCGTCCCGGCGCGGCGGGGAAGAGATGGGGGTCACTTGGTAAGGGCGGCGGAGCGGGGGGGGATGCGCGGCGCGGGGAACCGCCTCGGGTGGGGGGGGGGACACGCGGGAGAAGCCGCCGGTCGGTCTCGGCGCGTTGCCGGCGGGTCCCGTCAGTCCCGTCCCCGGTTCCAGCGTGGCGCAGGTGCCGGTGGCGGAGGGGAAGAGCGTGCAGCAGACGGTGGAGATCCTGACGCGGAAACTGGAGCTGCTGGGGGCCGAGAAGCACGGCACCTTCTGCGTGGACTGCGAGACCTACCACACCGCCGCTTCCACCATCAGCAGCCAAGGTCAGCGCCGGCGCCGTTTGGCCCCCGCGGGCTGTCGGTGAGCCCCGGCCGCGGTGAGGGGGGGGTTATCCAGAGCCGGGAGGGCCGAGGGTTTTTTTCCCCGCTGGTTTATTTATCGTTGTGGGGAGCAAGCGGCCGCCTCGCTGCCTGCAGAACAACTCCTCCGCCGGTTCCTGCCAGCCCCCTTCCATCCCCGGGGGGGACGGAGCATCCCCGGGCACCGACCGCTGCAGCGAGCGCCGGGCTGTGCCGCTTCATCCCGGCGCCGATGCTGGTTTCCCAGCCCCAGGGGCTGTCACGGCGGCGGGGGAAGCCTTGCTTCGAGGATTCCCCACTCGAGCCTTCGCAGCCTATCTTTGCTGTCAGCGTATTTTCCTGCGAAGCTTTTTCCTGTTGCTTTGGAGTTTGCATTTTGCCATGGAGAGGGCGGGCACGGGGCTGGCAGCGTCTGCCCGCTGTGCCCGGCTCCAAGGGGTTGGTGCTGGCACACCGGCTCCCGGGGCGGTGGGGAACAGCTCCTGGGGGGGGCTTAAGGTGTGAAATGACCCAGCTGTTTTTAAGGGACATGCTCAGAGGACCCCAAATCTCCTGGCACAGCACGGCATAAAAGGGTAGCTCAAAGGTATGGCGTGGCCTGAGGGGCCGTTCCAGTTCACCCCCCCCGCGCACTCCTCAGTTTTCGCAGCGTTTTCCAACGCTCATGTGAACGTCTCGGTGGTGGATCTGCTGCTGCCGAGGCAGCACTGAGCCTGTGTGGCCTCAGGGCTCTGCTCAGCCCGTTTGATGATGTGCCTTGTCTGATGGGGCACATCAGATCCATCTGAAGCTAACAGAGTGGCTTTTTGCTGCTTTTTTCTGCAGCTGGAACTTGCACGGCCACGTGCACAGAAAGACTACGTGGCCTACGTGGATAAATAGAATTTTTTCCAGATTTTAAAGCATGGTACAAGCAAGGCGCGTCCTCTCTGGACACGCAGTTTTCCAGAGCATGTCCCAGCACATCCTCCCCCAGCAGGACTGGTGGGTGAGTGGGAGGAGAGACAAAGCCCAGCCCTCCTCCAGTTACCATTGGCAGGAGGACAGTCAGCAGATGCCCAGCCCTGTGTTCAGGGATGGGAGGTGGGTGCCCTTGGCTGACCCCTCCTTCCACCAGTCTGCTGGGGATCTCACTTCCAGTTCACCCTCCGGTCCTTAAGTCGTGCTGGCATATTACCCTTGGGCTGCAGAAGATTATTTTTTTTTTTTTCCCCTTTAAATCTGAAGAAGGAAGTATAATTCATTCACTGAACAGCCGCATAACATAAAGTGTGTATGAGTGGAGCAAGAACCCTGGAATTAAAGCAACGAGAATTACAAATGAAAAAACAGATGCTTCTTTAAAGCACATATAAATGCAGGACTGTTGGTTTTACAGCCCAAATACCATTGCTTATTCCAGGGCAGACAGGCAAGCTGATGTACGTGATGCACAACTCCGAATATCCCCTCAGCTGCTTCGCTCTCTTTGAAAACGGTCCCTGCCTCGTAGCAGATGCCAACTTTGACACCCTTATGGTGAAGTTGAAAGGCTTCTTCCAAAATGCCAAAGCAAACAAGATAGAGAGCCGGGGCACCCGCTACCAGTACTGTGACTTCTTGGTGAAGGTGGGCACGGTTACAATGGGGCCCAGTGCCCGTGGGATATCTGTGGAGGTAAGAATCGTCTTTGAAGGATATGAAGTACAACTACAGACAGGGAAATCCTGTGTTGGAGGCTAGACAAGAAATCCCCCATCCCTTTTGTGTCTTGATTGTGTCTCGGTTGTATTACTCATTGCTGGTGGTTTGTACTAGGTGCGTTCAGGTATGCAGCAGACAGGGTCTGTGTCTGCTTTTCACAATGTGGTTTAATTCAGGCAGGTACTTTGGGGCTCAGCTGCAGCTACGGAAAAGCCTGTCATTGAAGTGTCAATAAACAAAACCCCGAAGGGACGCCATCAAACTAAAAAGCTGCTTAAAGTCCTGATGCACAAGGCTAGCAGCGCACTTCAGGTTAATAAGCATATTAATGTTTTTGCTTTCTTTCTCCTTCTCAAGCAAACACAGCCCCAGGAGAGCAGGGTTCTTGCGCCAGGTTCTGCTCACAGGGTGTAGAGATGGTCTCCTCACCAGAGAGCTTTTGGCAGGCGTTGGTCCTGCCCCGTGGCGTGCTGACCTGCATTGCTGCACTGTGGGGTGCACCGTGGGCTCAAAGCCTGCCCTCACACTGCTTCTGCTCCCTCTGCTCGGTGCTGTGACTGCTGCTGAGGCTCGAGAGCGTTGGTTGCCAGCTGCTGATGGGTGTTTCACAGGACAGAGGCTGAAGCAAACTGTAAAGGGAGATCCTTCCGCATACACAAAGGGGCACGGGAGGCTTTAGGAAGGCATTTGGGGAGATGCTTGGCTGAGTGCAAGTGGGAGTCGAAGGCTCACAAGCCATGGACAAGCCTCAGCTGGGCTGAAAAATGTCTTAGAAAAAGACAAGGAGCTGGGCTGTGCTGGTATGGGAAGGGCAAAGCAGAGTAGGTCAGACTCCACTCATCTATATATATCGGTGCCTAGCAGTCTTCAAGATAGCTGAGAATTACATGCTTAAAGGTCCTTCAGAATTGGAGCTTATGTTTTTTCTGAACACACTAATCCTATTATCAGCTATACAATTAATCAGGCAGGTGTTCCTAGCCAGCAGGGAGGATTGAGAAATGACTTACTGCTTTACTGCCATAAACACAGATACTGCAGCATTAGGGTTGCTATTGACCTGGGGTTAAACAGAAGCTTGTTTTACCCCAAACTTGAGCTCAGGACCAGATTTTCCAGGCAGTCTGGCTACTTCTGTTTTAGTAGTAGTTTTTTTAGGGTTTGCATTAGGATCTACTCCTGATTTGGGACCAGACTCATATTTAGTAAAACATTTTTAGTCCTTAAGTCCCAAGGCTTTTCCTAGTACACCTCTGAAAGATGTCACAGCCAGTCGAGTCATAGACCTACCAGCATGTAGAAATTAACTTTGGTTTTGGGTGGGGTAAAGTTAACATGACGTTTGAACCCCCCCCAGAGCCTCCACTACTGGGGATTTAATAAAAGCAATGCCCTTATAGGGTACCTTTTATGTCCCCTAGCCTTTTGAAGGGATTGCTTGTGTGATCCCAGCATGTCCTGTTCATTGATATTTGCCCATCCTTGTTATATGCTAAATATTCTCAGATGTTGTTATGAAAAGCATTCTCTAGTGAGGCAGAGGGAGGAAGGTGTGTTGCCTCCTGCGTGGTTATTACCCCTTGCCACGAGCTTCAGGGCTGTGGTTTCTGTTGCCAGGTGGAGTACTGCCCCTGCGTGATAGCCAACGACTGCTGGAACCTGCTGATGGAGTTCATGCAGAGCTTCATGGGGAACCACACTCCCGGCATCCCGTCCGTGTTCGGCACCAAGCACGACAGCATCTACAGCCCAGCGGACACGATGGTTCAGTACATGGAGCTGTTCAACAAGATCCGCAAGCAGCAGCAGGTGCCTGTAGCGGGGATCAGATGAAAGGACTCCCTGGAGCCCCGTTTAGAGCGACTGCATCGTCTTTTCTGCCTGCCCATCTGGATCAGGAGTCCCTCCAAAAAGCGACACTGGAGGCAGCCCAAGGTTTTTGTTCTTCTCAGTCTCTTTCCCTTGTTTCAAAGCAAAGGTCTTGAATGGTGTGCATATTTCTTGTCCTCCTTCCTGGTTTTGAGCGTGTCTGGGATCGGGCCTGTGGTTCTGATGGTTCTTTGTGCAGCTCTTTGTTCAGGGGATTGCTGTTCATCAGCAGAAGAGAAAAGGAGAAATTCCAGCTAAATGCATGAAAAGGCAGTTTCCTTGACTGCAAACAGCTACATGAGATATTTTTTTTAAAACTTTTTTTTAGATACTGACATTAAATTGTCTTGTTATTTTTCATCGAAATAAAAGCTGTATTTTGTGAGGAGATGGCGTCTTTTCTGCACAGCAAGTGTTGTGCTGTCTTGTTTGTTTACAGCTTTTGAAGTTTTCTGTTGCGTGGAGACAATTATTCAGCAGTTTTATCTCTGATTTGGTTCAGGAGCTGTATAACCCTGAAGCAAACTAATTTCCCTGTGGCAAAATCCACAGGAATTCTTGCATTCCTATTATGGATATGTTCTTAGCTTGCCTTCATCTTTTATATCTGATGGGAGTATTAAAATCTTCTACCTCTCAGACGATACCGATGAAGCCTCATGATAAATAAATAAATAAGCCTGGCAGGAGCCCTCATGCATTGAAAGAGAATACCAACTGGTTTATCTCGTTGTTTGAAAGGTAGGTAATAAATGTCCTATCTCTGCACACCATTTCTCATTTGAGAAATCCTGGTGTCTTCAGCAGATTTAATGGAGTAAGGAAGGATATGGGGAATAAGAGCCAAAAATTTATCATGAGACTTCATGATATGATAGCACTTGAATTTTTTTTTTTAGTGTTGATTTATTTTTACAGCAGGAAACCCAGGGAAATTAGATCCCTTTTGAGCTATCTTTCCCCTCAGTTTTAGTTGTTCAGTATCTATCTGGCTCGTAGCTGTCATTTTTTTCTTCTCCTCACTGCTCCACCCCCTGTTCTGTCTCAGAATACACAGAAACACCCTCATTCAACCACTGACCTTTGCGCTGAGCTTCCTTCGTGGTTCCTGGGAAGGCTGTGTGTAGCGGGGTTCCAGCTCGTGTCTGGGACACAAAGGGCGGGTGTAGAGAAGGTCTAAGGATGGTTTTAGGAAGGGAGATTTGCAAGGACAGTGGGTTCCTCGTGAAGAAGCAGTGTGCATCTTGCTCGCAGAAAATATTGTGGGTTCTTTGCCAGTACATGGGTCTTGAAGAGGCTGAAGAGCAAGTAAAACAGAACTAGATTTCTCCTAAATAGATTTTTTTCCTTCTGAAGTAGTGGGCGGAAAAGAAGCTGTTTTGTTACTTGATTTGCTGACTGGTGGAGAACTAGTTATTTAGATATGACATCTCCGTGATTATCATTTATACCTGTAAACCTAATTAACTGTTAGAGTGCTTAGAGCTTTTAGTGTGGGCATTTAATAAATTTAATCATCCCTGCGTCCAGAAAGATCTGGTTAATGAGCCATAATAAATGGTATAATGTACCTTAAGTGTATTAGAAATTCCAACATGCTGAATATACTGAATTTTTGTAACTCTTAGCTCAAGTTCATGACATGTGCACTGATTTCAGTGGGACTATTAATTTTCAGTGATGAAAATTCAGTGAGAATATGACCTGCTGTTGTTTTACATAGTTAAGTGTGGCTGGGAAAACTTATGAAAACAAACTGCAGTCTTTGTAGGGATAGTTACTTCTGTCCTGTTTCCCATTTTAAGTCTTAAGGTTAAAAAATCCCCCTTTAATGATCAGATTAGTCATGCTGAATGTTGCTGATGCCTTATTAATTCCCGAAAGATGCGTTCTGTAACCAGAGATGTCAAAACTCTGGTCACATGTCTTAAAAACATAAAATGTGTGCTGGAATCTCTGGGGACTTCTGTGCTTTTATTAATACATTGTACTGTTCCTGGAGTAATAAAATGGGACCCCTTGAGCTACATTCTGCCTTCAATTACACCATTACAGCCATTGACGTCAGTAGGTTTCCATGCGTGTGAGGATGGGTAGGGTTTAGCCCTTTATGTCTTGGCAAAAATGTCGATGCTGTAACTGCATTCTGTGACCCATGAGGGGCTGCTTTTACCCTGGGGCTTTTTACTTTCTTGATGGACAAAATGACTGTTTCTCAATCTTATTAGCTGCAGTAATCCTCCTCACTCTGCCCCCCCAGCATCAATATGGCAAGTTAACGTGGCTTCGAACACGCTAGTCTGCACCTTAACAAGTCTTCAGGGGGCTTTCGGTTGTGTTACATTAATGGATTGAGCCAGTGTAATTGAAAACCACCCTAACTTTGCCTGTCAAGGCATGGCTTGGAAGGTCGTTTTCCTGTTGCTCCCCAGTGTTTTCTCAGAGAATGCAAGATTTAGAGGGAGAGGTGGCCAAGCTGTAGTCCTGTACCACTGCGGATCCTTTTTTCTGCTTCTGCACCTCTCAAAATCGCTGGCAGTGTTGTTGCTTTCCTTGAGTTGTAGTCTAGTCTAGAGGGGACCAAGGATCTTGGGGATGTGGGTCTCAGCCTTGCATTGTAATAGCTTTCCCCTTCTAGCTCTAAGTAGAGGCTGGGTGACGTTACCAGGGTCACCAATGATTCAGTGGCAGAGAGAGTCCAAGTCTCACTGTCACCCTGAGGATACTGTGGGCTTTTGTTCTGTTTTGCACTGTGGCATTTTTTTTATGAGGAAGTACTTACATAGCAGCTGCACCCTGCTAAGCTTTACAAAGAGAGTCAGGACGTAAGAGCCTCATTAATCTTCAGTTTTAATTCTTAGCAGACATTACAGACTGAGGGCTCGTTGCAGTGGGGAGCTGTTGAAGAGTTAAGAGATGTGTGACTGTGGATTTCTGTGCAGGTGTGGGTTCAAAACAGACCAGACACTGATCAGAAAGGGAAGGTGTAGAGAAAGGATGACAGCTCACATCAAGTGAAATTTGTGGGAAGGCTGGCTGGTGAAGGAGCTTACAGACTGGAAGGCTGTGGAGTGTCCTTGTGCCATGGCAGAAGAAAACAGGCTCCCACCTGTCGCAGTAAATTGCAGTGATTTGCCTCAAAACTTACGGGGAGATGAGGGGGGAAAAAAACCCAGTTTTTTATCTGTACAAAGGAACAGAGTTAGAGGCACTGCTGACCTGTGCTCTGTGTGTGTGGTCCATGACTGCTTGCCTGCAGTTTTGCTCCAGCTCAGTGCTGCACAGAGAGCAGGACTTGCTGCTCCCTGACATGTCCTCGACAGTACCTCCTGCAGGCTGCAAAAAAAAAAAAAAAAAGTGAGTTGTCCCCAGTGGGTTCAGGTGACTCCCAAGCGTGGCTAACCCTTGCTAGGGACAGGCCTCTCCGCCAGCCTCAGCGCTGGTGTCCCTTTGTCTCTGACAAAACATGTTTCCATCCTGTCATGGCTCCTGGTCTGATGACAAGCATGTGGCCTTCGAGTGACCACTGGCAAAGGCCAGTATGGCTCTGTGAGCCGTCATAATGCCTGTGGCCCTGTGGGGTGCCTTCCCCCCTCACCTCAGGGTCCCTGTCACCTCAGGGGTCCCTGTGGGGTGCCTTCCCCCCTCACCTCAGGGTCCCTGTCACCTCAGGGGTCCCTGTGGGGTGCCTTCCCCCCTCACCTCAGGGTCCCTGTCACCTCAGGGGTCCCTGTGGGGTGCCTTCCCCCCTCACCTCAGGGTCCCTGTCACCTCAGGGGTCCCTGTGGGGTGCCTTCCCCCCTCACCTCAGGGTCCCTGTCACCTCAGGGGTCCCTGTGGGGTATCTCCCACCCCACGCAGCCACCGCAGGGGCCCCGCGGGAACGCGCCACCTCCCGCGCTGCCCCTTTAAGAGTCTCTTTGTCTCCGAAACATCCTTTTTTCACCCTCCTGTGACTCAACCAAACTTCAGCCCGGGATTCACAAAGCCCGGTACGTCACCGGCCGGGGCCGGGCCCGGGCAGGCCCCGCCCCTCGCCGCTGCCCTCCCGCTCCTCAACCGTAAGCCATTGCAGGGCTCTTCCTAGCGGCTGCGCAGAGTTCGTAAGCTCCGCCAGAACTCTCTCTGCCGCGGCGTAGACTGCTCAAACGACGTCCGTCGGTGCGCCAGCCTCGCCGTTAGCGCGGCGGGGTGTGTGGTGTGGGGTGTGTGCTCTGCTTTACGGAATTAGCGTAAGCAGCGGCGGCTGAGGGGGGGGAAGGCGGGAGCGCTGTGTGGCGTGCTCCCCAGCCAACGGCGGGGCGGGGCGGGGCGCGGCGGGCGGCCAATGGGCGGGGAGGGGGCGTGGCCGGCGGCCGTTGGGGTGTCTCGCGCTGGGTGACAGCTCGCGCGTGCTGATGATGGCGGTAAATAAAGGGGCCGTTGGCGGGGGGGGGGGGGGCGGGAAACACGGCCGCGACCACCCCCCCCCCCCCCCTCTGAGGGCGGAGGGGGGCAAGGGGCTGGGGGGGGGGGGGCACCCCGTTGGGAGAGGGGTGCCCCCCCCCCCGGAAAGGGCGCCCCCCATCGGTGTGGTTGGGCGGCGCGGCGGAGGGGCTGAGGCGGACCCCGACCCCCGCCCCGCCGCTGCCTTTGTCTGCGGGCGGGAACCCCGCGCCCGCCTCGGCGGCTCCGCAACTTTCCCTTTGTTGAGGCGCCGGGGGCCGCGGGAGCGCCCACCCCCCCCCAAACCCACCCCCCCACCCCACCCCAGGACCGGCTTCTCCCAGGGGGCTCTGGCGGCCGGGGGGAGGGGGACGGGACACCAGCTCCGGGGGTCGCGTCCCGCCACGGGTGGGTGGGTGGGTGGGTGCCGCGGGTCGTGGCCTTGCTGCCGGCGGGGAGGGGGGATTTCGCCTTAAAAAAACTCCCTCCGTAAACCCCCATGCTGCTCTTTGGGGAGGGAGGGGGCGGTGTGGACGGAGGAGAAGGCTTGAAAATGGGGAAAATCGGTGCTGATTCGTATTTATTTAAAAAAAAAAAAAAAAAAAAAAAAAAAAAGCTGTGGGGTTTGTGTCCTCCCTGCCTGCCGCGAAGGTAAACAGCAGAAGTTAATAAGGGGGGGGGCGGGGGCATCTTGGGTTTAGGTCTGTGGATGGCGAGCATCCGCTTCGGGCAGCGAAGCGTGCTTTAAAATCCCCTTTTAAACATCATTCGAAGCACGGGGGGGGGGTCGCAGCAATTTATATCCCCTCCTGCAAATGTTCTGATAACCAGAGAAAATAACTCCTTAAGTGTATGAACCTCTAAAAGCAGGAGTCGATTTTAGAAAAGCTGCTAATTTTAGGAAAGGCACCTGTAAATCGTGATACGTGCAATTGTATGTAGGAAAGAGAAGCATGATCTGTGTGTCTGAACAGCTCCTGAGCTCCAGGTGTAGTCAGCGGGAGAGTATTGACAGACGTGATGAATGCACCCAGTTATTCTGAAATATATGAGGAAGGGGGGGAAAAGTGTCTTTACTTTTCAGAGCTGCACTTGTACTTTTAGTCAGGGAAGGATGCTGTGAGCTCTTGAAGTCACTGAGCTCATCTTGTGCAGAATGTTGCGAAATTGGGTCCTTTTATATACTGCTGCTTCAGAGAAGATGCTCGCTGGAACCTAAGGAGTGTGTGGTGAGAGATGTGATAGGCGTGACTGATTCCTCAGCCCAGGAAAAACTCTAATTGACTTCGGCTGGAGCTTCTCCTGAAGTAGTACCGATTGTTCTTGTGCGAAGGCAAGGCAAAAATAGGGACCAGATTAGAAGGGATGATAGGGAGGTGGGGCTGGAAGCAAAAATAAAGTGTCGGGATGGGGGAGGAAGGGGGCTGTCGGGGGAGATGAAGTCTGAGCTGCTGCTTGAGAAAAGGAAACACACGGCTGGGACGTGAGAATGGGGACAGGAAAAAGAGCTGCAGGAGCGAGGAGGATGAGAGCGGGTAAATCGATGGAACTGTGAATATAAAAACTCTGTGTGGGTGTGAACGCTGTGGATTAAACTTGCCCTTGGATTAAACGAGTGTCACTCTTCTCGGAAGTGTCTGGAGTTGCACCCTGTCCACAGCCGGCAGTAAATGCAGCGCTGGGGTTTGCACTGAATTTCTGCTGCTCTGCCTTTGGCAGCTGTGTTTGGGGGTTGCTGCTGTTTAACAATTGTCAGATATGTTGGTATGATGTTAAAGAGAAAAAAGGAGAGGGCAACAAGCATTTGGTGTTATTTTTAAATGCTTTGAAGATAGGCTAGGTGCAAATATTGAAAATGATGTGCCAAACGTGAGCAGCATTTGATGTCTCTGAGCTAGGTGTGCTTTCAAACATGAGGCTGGAAACGGTAAACAGTTGTTTATTTTTCCCCTGTTAATTTTCCTATTAATACGATCTGACTTCAAGTGAAAAGGGCGTTTTGAAGTTGGCAGCTTTTCAGGTCTGGAATAATTCTTGGTCTTGTGCAAGTTCTGTTTGTTACAAAGAATTTTGCTTATTCAGGAGCAGGGCTTAACAATAGTCACATATGCAGCGGTTTATAGACTTAGGGCTAGTAAGTCAAGATTGGGGATTTATATAGCTGTTGTGTGTCCAAAGATCGTTAGTAAAGAATCTGTCACCGCAGCTCCTGCGGAGATTCAGATTGCATGTGGTAGAAAGCCCTGTGGTTGACAAGACACGCTGGAGGCCTGTAAGAATGGAGAAATTGTGAATAAGCCTCGCGTGCTGTGGCTTGCAAAATGAAACCGTGCTTGGTCTGATCAGTATTTGTATTGGTAAACTCAAAAGGGAACAGCAATGGATTTGTCTTTCATGTGTTGTACCATTAATCATGGGAATACTGCTGATGGAAAAAAAGAAAAAAGGGCACATTTAGCTCGGTGTATCGCCTCTCTGGTTCTGGTGTGAAAGCCTTGAGTGCAGTTTCTTGCTGCAGTGGATTTCTTGTGACTAATCGTAATCCTTTTGCTTGGTGTTTGCTTGTTTGCAGCTCTGTCCACATCAGACATTGCAGGTTGTTTTCTTCAGTGCTAAAACACACTTACTTGTTAACTGGGTTTTTTTAAAGTAGTTACTGGTTTGTCTCAGCACCTAAGAACGAGTGACAAGAAGCATTTTCTCTAGAGGTAAAGGTGACATAAATTACTGAATGTGTCCTTTAAGATCCTATTTTTATTAGCCTTTTTTTGTCTTTTGTTAGCTGTTTTTATACTGAAATTTCTTGGGACTTCCACTGGGACTCATAAAGTGAAATTTAGTGTTTTCTCAGCCCTTAGATGATGTTAGTGGATAGATTTAGAATAGCTAACAAATGGAACTACTATGAGTTCAGCTTCTGTTTTATAAGGTACATGTGAAATCTTGCACATGCGTTTTTTGTTTTGGGGAAGTGTGAAAGGATTTCTGAAGTTGACCTCAGCTTTAAGTCAAAACAAAACTAAGGTTTTTGTTTTAAAATTGTCTGTTAGACATGAATAGAGAGATACTAGGATAAGTTGTCTGAAAACTTTGCCTGTAACTGGGCACAACAATTAAGATCAAATGGGGCAAAAGGAAGGTATGGGATAGCTCTAGTGACAGCTTGCTCTGAGCTGCATGGTGGGACGTGCTCCAAAAGATCCCCCCAATCCTTTATTTTCTGCAGGAATCCACCCCAGAGGAGACACACTGGAAGTTTCTCACTTTGTTTAACAACCTTTGTGGTTTTCATCTTGAATATTTCATCAAGGGTTGGTTTTGGTTGTGTGTTTTTTTTTTTTTTTTTTTTCCTTTGGGGAATGAAACCTTGGGAGGTGTTCTTGTCTCAGCAGCCTATTGTTAATTGCTCAGTGTATAAACACTTCACCTTTCCTAAACACTTAACCACAATGAACAGGCTGTTGAGTTGATGCGAGTACATTGTACAGAAAAAAAGCCCCCCCCTTCAATGTCAGTGAATGGAAGACTATTCTCGTTAGCGTAAAACCCTTAACGAATCGTCGCTCTGCAGTGTACTAAGCAAATTCAACAAATTATTTAACAGAAACCACTAGCATTTTAAAATCTGATTTATAGATCAGAATGGCTTAGTTGTTTGTTCATATCTCCATGTATACCGATGCTAACACTCTTCACTTTTGTTTTTATTAGACTTTAGATCAAAGATGGCTCATGCGAGGCTGTTAAGTCGAATGTGGCTTGCGAGCCATTGAATTACAGCCCCAGCATGCAGGCTTCATCACGTAACTGGCAGCAGAGCTACGGAGCAGCTATAACACGCCACTGAAACAAAAAGATTAAAGTGGGATTGAGGGGAGAGAAGGTAAAAACGGAGGTGGAGATTCTGTCCTTTGCCAGAGTCATAGGGAAATAATTTCCAAGTGGTCTAAAGCTAATTATTTGTATGTTTGCAGTAATTCATATTGTAGGGTATTGAGGAAAATGCAAATTAAAATGCACACTCTGTTGCACTGCATTCTGCTGCTTTTGAATGGGGAAAAAAACCCTTTACTTTTTGCTACGGTGTTAGGAATTGAGTATCTTCAGTGGACATAAAATAGGTAGGAAAAAAATAAACTTGTCTGCTTTGAGTTAGGTGTTGTTAATTAGCTTTTTGCTTACAAGATGGTAACAAGCGCACATTAACTGTTACACCTCCAACACATTACAAAGATCAGTATGAAATGTCTCAGAAAATGGCAAACTTCTCGGGGCTTACCTTGAGATTTTTTTAAAGGTGGCTCACTAGGTAAGTTCCTTTAATTAGGTAATTATAATGTAATTCACTGGGAAGTCTGTCCTTTTAAGAACTTTATGGAGAAAATAGAAAAACAGAGGCTTTTCGCCTTGTTCCTCCCCACAGTGTGTACACTTGCTTTCTTGTCTCACTGCCTTGGCTGTGTAATTCAGCCACATTTTCAAATGAGACAGAAAACTGGAATATGTGGATCTGGCAGCTCAAAGTTAGTATGAGTGTATTTGAAATGTATCTTGTGTAACATGTCAGTCATGACAAATGTACTCTTAAATTCTGACAAAGGAGATGTTTTTCTGCTCTTTTGTAACTTTGCTAACTGAAATGCAAAAGGGTGCTTTAGCCAAAGCAAAAACCACATACTCAGACACAGGAATCCCTACAGAAGGTTGGAATTACTGCATAACATGCTTCATCTTGG